ACAACAAAACATCATAAAACAGTTTCTATTTCCATGAGTTGTTTTCTTAAAACCATCTGACTTAATTCGGAGTATGAAAATTGAAATGAATGGGGTTGCCTCACCAAAGCCACACAAGTTACTTCCTCAAACACAGCCTGAACACTTCCCAAAAGTGTACCATTGATTTAATTATCTATTAGAAAATACTCACTAATGAAAGTATTTCTGAGGAATACTTTCTTTATAATTCTTTATAAAAGAATTAAATTTTAGCCCTGGCCGGTTTGGCTCAGCGGTTGGAGTGTCCGCCTGCGGTCCTGAGAGACCCGGGTTCGGTTCCCGCTAAGGGCACGTACTTCGGTTGCAGTTTGTCCCCGGCCCTGGTTGGTTGTGCGGGTGGCAGCCACTCGATGTGTCCCTTTCACATCGATGTTTCCCTCTCTCTCTCTCTTCCTCTCTCCCTCCCACTCTATCTGTACAAAAAATGGAAAAATGTCCTCGGGTGAGGATAAAAAAAAAAAAAAAGAATTAAATTTTAGGCTATTTAATGGTGGTACTAGCCCTTGTGCATGTTCGGGTGGAGGTGAGGAGTGAAATTGAACACTAGTCCCGGACATATTTATTTTTGAATTTTACTAATTAAAAAATTTGGAAATATAGAGTGGAGGGTAGAGGAGGGAGAACCTGGTCCAAATCCCATTATTATTATTATTATTATTATTATTATTATTAAACTAGCATAGGAAGGAGCTATGCAAGGAAGGAGCCCTTGGTTCTTTCTTGGTGGAAACATACTATGAATCACTTAACCTCTCTATGTCTCATGTCAATGTTTCTCTCTCTCTCTCTCTCTCTCTCTCTCTCCCCCTCTCTCCCTCCCTCCTGCTCTATCTGAACAAAAATGGAAAAATATCCTCGGTGAGGATAAAAAATAATAATAAAATGCAGTAGCAAGTTTGAAAATGTATCCTGAAGCAAAGTTCAGTGCTTAGGTTGAAGGTGACAGCCCCAAGGAATTAAGAACAAAAATTTAAGTCTATTTTTAATAAGGCTGCAGTAGCAGTGAAAGCTTTACCATTTTAAATCTGACACAGACTGGGTAACTGATTCCCGAGCCTCGCCACCTAAGCTACGCTGCCGTTTTGATGTATTTTCTCCACTGGTGGTGAAGAGATGAAGAGGAAAGCAAGCAGAAAAGAAATCAGGACACAGGTCGGCACACAGGCTGATCCTCAAAAATGTCAGAGATAGATGAGAGAGAGGAAATAGAATACATAGGACTCAGTCAGTTCATAAATGTATTACCTGTGTGATAGAATTTCTTTGTAACAAGATCATCTTCTAGGATATGGTAACACACTTTGGATTCTTTCCAAACATTCTCAACGATCACACTAATGCAAACTGATCTGCCTGTCAGTCTGTATCGTTCCAAACTAAATAATAGTAATCTTTGGCCTGTCCCCATCCATCGCATTTTAATGTGAAAATCAGTGTTCAAGTTTTTCTTTCTGACCATTTTCTCTTCGGCAAGATTAGGAAGCTCATTTCCAGGGTCTATTTTTTTCTGCGGCTGGTATTTACCACCTCCCTTTGTGCCCAATATCATGCAACCATATGCTATGGAACATTCTAGAACTCAGACAGAGTGGGTGCCTCGTGGGATGACTGCTTATGAAAAGGTGATTTTCAATCCATGTTTTAATACCTGAGACAAGCTTAGTGGCCTTAAATAGAAGAACTCTGTGGGATTTTTTAAATCTCCCCTTAAAAAGGAGAAATGACTTGAAGAAGTGCTCACCTCTCTACCTCCACAAGTTTTCCACAGAAAAAGGAACCTGGAAAAAAATCCCGGAAGATCTCAGTGAATATTTAAATAGTAGGTTCAAGGTTGGGGAGTAGCATTACCAAGAGGAAAGGTAGATGAAATGAAAGCGAAGTGTCACTGATTTTTGCCTCTGTCCCTGGAAAGAAGATTGCTGATTTGGAGTCACTCCGGTCTACCCAAGGCCATCTGCCATCGTAACTGAAAGGTACGATTCCCTGGGCCAGCAGGTTGTTCCTAGTGCTAGTATCTGAATAGACCATCTAGGCTTACTCCAGAAGAGCTTCCCGAGGTTCGCATGCCCCCCTACTCCCAAGCAGAGGGGTTTGGTTCTTCCCGAAAGCCACTCGTGCTGAAGGTATCACAATAGCAAGGCCTCAAACTAACTATGAATCTGATGGCACTCTAGAATTCAGTAGAAAAGCTTTTGGGAGGGAAAAAACATGGCCTGCAGCATTAAAAAGGCAAAATGAGGCTCTTGCTTAGACTTAATATAACAAATTGAGTAAAATCATAGCTGAAAAGTTATAGAGTTGCTGAATACATGCCATGAAGGGAGCTAAGTCACTTATACGCATTATTTCATTTAGTCTTTATTGTGGTTTAGAAGATGAAAAAGACTCTGAGTTAAGAGTCCAAGCTCACAGACCTGGCAAGTTGGTTTGGCTCAGCAGTTAGAGCGTCGGCCTGTTGTCCAGAGAGATCTGGGTTCAGTTCCCGCTAAGGGCATGTACCTCGGTTGCAGTTTGTCCCGGGCCCCGGTTGGTGTCATGTGGGTGGCAACCAGTCAATGTGTCTCTCTCACATTGATGTTTCTCTCTCTCTCTCTCTTCCTCTCTCTCCCTCCCACTCTATCTGAACAAAAAATGGAAAAATGTCTTCGGGTGAGGATGAAAAAAAAGAGAGACAGAGCTGGCAAGTGGTAGAGGTTGGATCAAAACCCAGTTCTGTGGGATGTTGGAGCCCAAGCTCTGCCCCACTTATTTATACTCAAGTACTTTAAAACTATTTTAATAGATGTCTAAGGATGATGAAATCTTCTGGTGATGTGCAATAAATCAAAGTTCCTAGGAAACTTTATATGATATTCAGAACCACTACTAACATTGATTTTGCCCAAATTTTACATTAGTATTAGATGCCCTTCTAGAGTTCAGCTACACATTTTTAAATCTTCCCTATAATTCAGATACACAGTTTTCTCATATGCATATACACAGAGACCACACACACACACACACACACACACACACACACACACAGCTCCACATGTACCCCATGGATCCAAAACACATCACAGAGACACACACAGAAACCATACAGCTTCATATATACACATAAACACACTGCAGGTATACAGACCACAGGTACACACACACACTATCAGAAATTTCCCATGGGATTTTGTTTCTCCTCATCTACTATACCCTAATTTCTGTCCAGTTTCCACCATATTCATCATCTCTTTCATATCTTACCTCCTGCTGCTGGTCTCTTCTCTCCATCCCACTCCATCCCACTCCATCCCAAAGAGGGAACACAAGCTTTGCTCCTTCCAGTCCCCAGAGCAACCACCCACATAAGACCATTGTGATTAATGAGAAGAGACATTACACCAGGTCAAAGCATAGCAAATGGACTAAAACTGAGTATTAAACACTCCTCATTTTCATTCCCCTGTGTAATTTCTGCACTTCTGAATACCTCATTGACCCTTCATGCTCTTCAAGCCTCCTGACCTCCTGCCATGTTTTCCCTGTGTTCCCCTCTCTGAAGACCATCCTCACTCCTCCTCCCTCTTCTTGTGGTCCCAGGACCTTCACACAACCTCTTTCTCAGGTTCCCACTGTTCACTCACCATCACCTATTCATTCCACATCCTTAGACTTCACTTTTTATTTCCAAGGCAGACTACTAAGGTATTTTCCTGAAGTGAAAAAATCATTTTTCTACGTTGGAGAAAAACTTTGCCACTTCCCTTAGAAGGCAGAATTAACTTAAAGTAAATGTGGTTTTAATAACAATTACTTTATTTCTTCTCTCTACATCTTCGTAGAATGTTTTCACTTAGTGGAAAAAAGAACCATCACTAGTAATTTCCATTGATTTATCCAATTTATCAATAAACAATTTGTGGATATGACTCTGTTATAATAGATGTTTTCCAAAACATTCTCAGGTTTATATTTTCAATATTATAGGAACCATTTACCAAGAAATGGGACATTTTGAATAATCAAATATTCTGATTCATGGAGCATTATCAAAACACCAGACATGAAATATCAATTTTCAAAGTAGTAACTTTGAAATAATAAAAAGCTGGTAGGGTTTCCAACCTGCCACAATGGAGGCATGATGGGAGGTGATGATTCATAAGAAATTTAACCATTTTAAGCCTCTCTTTCTACTCTGTTTAAATATTTACCTTTGTGAGGGAAAATAATGATTTTCATAAAATGCTCCTGGCATATAACAAGAATTGAATAAATATCAGTTCCTTGACTTCTCTCCTCCTTTCCCCTCCCCAAGTAAGAAAACCCACTGCTATATCCTGCAGTAAGTACACTTTCCTCTTTCGCTGAAGATTCTGAAGACTCTTCACACTCTCACGGTGCCTAGAGCTCCCATGTGAGTATCGGTTCTTCCAGTTACCTTCTCAGTGTTGGAATACTAGATAATGGCATTTATTATATATAATTAGCTCATGAGAGAATTCTAATTATAGCTCCCCGTGATCACTCATTTGCAACAGTTGTTATTTTTGTTATTCAATTTCATTAGCAACATTTGCCCTGACCAAGTCTTCGTTAAGTAAAACTGATTCTATACTGCCTTATTCAAGAAGTTGTGCTCATCAAGAAGGGCCAGACTTCTGGTTAATGTGTAAATAGAAGATGTTTAGCTACCTAAATTAATTATATAACCAAGTCAAAATATCCATTTCACATTAATTTCATATCATTTGCAGTATTTTCATTTTCTGATGCTCAAATTAATCTGATCTTAATTCTTCGTACAAAACAAAGTAAAGGCCTCAGGAAAAATATCTGATTTGTGTTATTGTAGAAGTATTATATTTGCCATTTAAAAAATATTGTCAATTTGTTTGTTGAAATTTTAATTTCTATATTTATTCTTTTCTTTGCTTCTTTTTTGTTCTTATTTTCAGTTTCTCATTTCACCAGTAATTATGGATCTGATCAACTCTTCCAATTACCGGGTCAATGTCTCTACATTAATAAGAAACAGCACTCACTTCCAAGCTTCTGCCTCAAGACTAATTGTTTGCCTCCTTTTGTTCTCGACATCAATAACTGGTATTATCATCAATGGTTTCTATCTATGGATACTAAAATTCAAGATGAGAAAAACTGTCAATACTATTTTATTTTTTCATCTCATTCTCTCATATTTTATTTCAACATTGATCGTGCCATTTATAACCACCTCCTACCTTCAGGACGATCGCTGGAGCTTGGGAACCGCCATGTGCAAGGTCTTGAACAGCATTTTGTATACAGGGATCTCAGCCTCGGTTTTCTTCCTCTCGGCCATCAGTGTTGATCGTTACCTGCTCACTCTCCACCCAGTGTGGTCACAGCTGCACCGAACCCCACGCTGGGCTTCCAGCATCACCCTGGGACTCTGGATCTCTGCTGCTGTCCTCAACATGCCCTATTTGGTTTTCAGGGAGACACGTGATGACCATGAAGGAAGGGTGACCTGCCAAATTAACTATGCTGTGTCTACTAACCGGGAAAGCAAAAAGATGCAAACATTAGGGAAATGGATTCATGTAGCCTGTTTCACCAGCCGCTTCTTGCTAAGCTTCCTTCTGCCTTTCTTCATCATTACCTTTTGTTATGGAAGAGTAGCCAAAAAGATGAAAAAGAGGAACCTATTTAAGTCCAACAAGCCCTTCAAAGTCATCATGACTGCCATTATCTCTTTCTTTGTGTGTTGGATGCCCTACCATGTATACCAAGGCTTACTTCTCACTAAGACCCAATCTCTACTTTTACAGTTGACTTTGATGCTTACAGTGATTACCACTTCTTTCAATACTGTCTTTTCTCCCACACTCTATCTATTTATTGGGGAGGACTTCAAAAAGGTTTTCAAGAAGTCCATTCTTGCTCTGTTTGAATCAACATTCAGTGAGGATTATTCTTCAGAAAGAGCACAAAACCTAAATTCAGAAACCTACATTTAAATTCAGTGTCCCAGGGCAAACATGAACTCTTACCAGACATATATCCTGTGCTTTTGAATAATATTGTTCCTATGTTAGAGAGACCTCTAGGCTGTACTGTAGTTATATTCTGAACATTAAAATGGCTATAAGAGCCCTGGCTGGTTTGGCTCAGTGGTAGAGCATTAGCCTTCAGACCAAAGGGTTGCGTGTTTGATTCCTGGTCAAGGGCACGTACCTGGGTTGCAGGTTCGATCACCGGCTGTGGTCGGGGTCATGCAGGAGGTAACCAATCGATGTGTCTCTCACGTTGATGTTTCTCTTTCTCTCTCTAAAATCAGTAAATGTATCCTCAGGTGAGAATTTTAAAAAATAAATAAAACTGTCCGGAACTTGATTTAAAAATACACACACACAAACAGTGTCTTTGTTTAAAAAATAAAAATAAAAAGGCCATAGGAAAGTATGCAATAGGTGATGTTACAAATGTAATTTTTCCTTTTTTTTTTTATTGTAGTAAAATATTGACCCTTGAACAACATGGGTTTGGACTGCACAGTTCCAAATGTATATGTGGGTTTTTTTCAATAAGTATATTCAGCGCTGAAAATGTATTTCCTCTTATGATTTTCTCAATAATATTTTCTTTTCTCTAGCTCACTCTATTGTATGAATACAAAATATAGGGGGTTGGGGGCTTGGTGAAATGGTGATGGGATTAAAAGTGAAAACTGGTTGTCACAAAACAGTCATGGGGATGTAAACTATAGCATGGGGAAGATAGTCAATAACATTGTAATAACTATGTACAATGCCAGGTGGGTACTTGAAATATTGGCGGGACCACTGTGTAAGGTATATGATTGTCTAACCACTATGCTGTACACCTAAAACTAATACAAAATAATATTGAATATAAACTGTCACTGAAAAAGAAAAAAAAATTTTAAAGAATGTATTATGTAATACATATAACATACAAATATGTATTAAACAACTATTTATGTTACTGGTGAGGTTTCCGGTCAACATAGGCCACCACCAGTTAAGTTTTTAGAGTCAAAACTTGTTCATGGATTTTGACTGCATGAGAGGCCGGAGCCCCTTCCACCTGTGTTGTCCAAGGCTCAACTGTATAACACATAATTTGTTATTTTCACCATTTTTAAGTATAAATCCCAGTGGCATTAACCACATTCACAATGTTTGCAACCATCATCACTATTTCCAGAATTTTATCAACCCAAAGAGAAACCCTGTGCCCATTAAACAATAATGCCTCCTTCCTTCCTACCCCCAGCCCCTCACATGACCTCCATTCTGCTATCTGTCTCTATGAATTTGCCTATTCTAGATATTCCATATAAGTGCAATCATATAATATTTCTCCTTTGTGCCTGGTTTATCTTACTTAGCATAATGTTTTCAAGGTTCATGCATGTTATAACATGTATCAGAACTTCATTCTTTTTATGGCTACGTAATATTCCATTGTATTTATATACTATGTCTTGTTTATCCTTTCTTCTCTTGAGGGACATTAAGTCTGTTTCCAACTTTTTACTATTGTAAATAATGCTACTATAAACACTGGTATATTCTTTGAGTCCTTGTTTTCAATTATTTTTAATTATTTTTAATTTCTGGGACATTTGGTAATTCTGTCTAACTTTTTGAGAACCCATCAAACTTTTCCATAGCAGCGGTACATTCTCGCCAGCAATGTACAAAAGTGCCACTTTCTTCACTTATTATTTTTTATATTTTATTATTACTTTATTATTATTCTTCACTTATTTTCCTTTTTTAGTTTATAGCCATCCTAGTCAGTGTGAGGTGGTACAAGTATGAGTCTTGACCTCTGATTTTTAAGTCTATAGGAATATCAATTTCTAAATACAAATAGTATCCATGGATCTGAATTCTAGTCAGAGAATCTTCTATAAATTAGGCATTTGGACAGGATGCCTCTTTTTTTGATATCACACAAATGATCTAACTGATATGAACAAAAGTTAACATGGAGATGACAAGGCATTCATCTTGTCATATACATGTTAAAATGTAAAGACATTTATACTCTAATGTTTAAGAATAAAGAAATCTTAAATCTCTCTTTTTAATACCTGGAGATTAAGCTATCTCAGAAATATGGAACTAAGACAATTATAAATCTTTAAGAATCTGCCTGGGTAATGTCATAGTATATTTAATTTTAGAATAACAATAACAATATTAATTTGTCTTCCCTGGGATTCAAGTTCACTTCAAGTTTTTGCAATACATTATAGCACCTGAGTTATCTAGGACTATATAGTACCACTGACCTATTACCTTCAGTTAGTTTTTTGTGTGTTGCAAATAGTAATAGATAGTAATAAAGAGATAGTTGAATTGATACAGAATAAAGATACTTAGGCCATAATGCACACTGAGTTCCTAAATATTCCAGGTAGCTTTGCACAAACCATTCCAAACCACAGGAATATATCGTATTCAGAAATCCTGAAAATGGGGATATTAATTACAAAAGGGTTATAGAGAGGAAGAAAAATTAACCTTCATTAGTAGTTTTTTATGGAGGAAAAATAATAGTAATTTGATGCCCTAAAAATCCAGCTAATTGACTTGGTACCACCGCTGCCCTGGGCAACGGGGGCTTGGGCTCTCTCACTTTAAATATGAAGGACAAAAAGCTGTAGATAGATGAAAACTTTCATCATTTGGCCCCTATTTCAAGTTTTTGGAGCCTGGACAGTTTCCCAGAGAGAGAGGAGTAAGACTGATGACCAGGCTGTGGCTCTGAGTGTCCCTGCCGCAGGAAGGGCTGATGCTCCTTCCTTCCCACACTCTCCCAGGTCCTGACAAGCCTGCTGAAGTTTTGATGTAGGATCTAAGAAAGATGGGACATAGTTATTGGATGGGCATAGGATTTTTTCTGAAACAAGATCATGCTTTGGAAACCTAGCAGCTACAGAGAGAGAGTCTTCCGTGTCCCTCAGACCTGCTATGATAACACAGAGGTGCTTGTTTCTGGTCTCTCTTCTATATAGTACTTCATTTCACTTCATTGCAAAGTCCTCAAGAACAGAAAGAATCCTATCAATCACACTATTTGTTTTCTATAATATTATATGCATCTGACATCCAGTAAAAGCTATTTAATGAAAGTTGAATATGGGTAATCACAATATGTGGCTTGAAAAACAACTTTAGGTATAAAATAATAGGATTGAACCAGATTTTTATTTAACAAAGATTTATAGCACATCTACCTTGTACCCTGGCATGATTCTAAGTGTTTTACAAATAAATAGTAACTCACTTAATCTTACAGCAATTCTGTGAAGTAGGTCATATTATTGTCCCTATTTTACAAACTATGAAACCAAAGCACTTGCCCAAGGACATACAGGGAGCAATTGGAAGAGACAGTATTATACAACAGACAGTCTGGTGCAAGAATCCATGCTTTTAACCATTATACTCACTGTCTGAGTTCACTGCTAGAAGGCAATAAGGTTTGGCTTTCAGCCCAGATCCACCAAGTCTGTTTATTTCATCAGAAGTCACCTTCTTGGCTGCAAAAATCAAACAGAAGTGCTTAGAAAATGTCTACATCCACATACATAGAAAAAAAAAAATAGCATTGAACTTGTAATCAGGAGATTTAAGTGGTGGTATTGCTTTGATTCTAGCTTGGTGTTTTATTTGGGGCAGGTTATCCACATTTTCTGGGCCTCAGCTTTCTCATCAATTATATGGGAACATCTCTAAATGAGACTATGTATATGAAATTATTTCTAAAATATAAAACACTATATAAAAATAAGACATTATTTAAAGTTTTTTAAAAGAGCTCACTTTAAATTTTTAAAAATGTATGGTGTAAACTTAAAAAAAAAACTATCCCAAAATGTGGTTTTTAAAATTATTTCTTATTTTTCAATTACAATTGACATACAATATTATATTAGCTTTTAGGTGTACACCCCAGTTACTAGACATTATATAATTTACTAAGTGATCATCCTGATAAATGTCATACCCATCTGACACCATATATAGTTATAATATTATTAGCTATATTCCCTATGCAGTACTTTGCATCCTCATGACAATTCTGTAACTACCAATTTGTACTCCTTAATTCTTTCACCTTTTTCACCCATCTCTCCAACACTCTCCCATCTGGCAACCATCCCAATGTTCTTTGTATCTATGAGTCTGTTTCTGTTCTGCTTGTTTGTTTATTTTGTTTTTTATTTTTATTTATTGATTGATTGATATTAGAAAGACATAGAAACATCGATGAAAGAGAACATCAATTGGCCACCTCCTGCATGCTCCCCACAACGTGGGTATGTGCCCTGACCAGGAATCAAACTGGCAATCTCTTGGTGCATGGGTCAACGCTCAACCACTGAGCCACACTGGCTGGGCTTATTTTGTTTTTTAGATTCAACTGTTGATAGATATGAATTTACTCACATTTTATTGTTCATATTTTTTCCTTTCTTCTTTTTCTTCTTCTTTTTTAACATTTCATGTACACTGGCTTGGTGGTGATGAACTCTTTCAGCATTTCCTTGTCTGGGTAGCTCTTTATATAGCCTTCAATTCTAAATGATAGCTTTGCTGTATAGAATAATCTTGATTACAGGTCCTTATTTTTCATCACTTTGAATATTGCTTGCCACTCCCTCTGGCCTGAAAAATTTCTTTTGAGAAATCAGCTGACAGTCTTGTGGGAGCTCCCTTGTAGGTAACTAACTGTTTTTCTCTTGCTGCTTTTAGGATTCTCTTCTTGCTTTAAGATTTTGCATTTTAATTATGACATATCTTGGTGTGGGCCTCTTTGGGTTCATCTTGTTTGAGATGCTCTGTACTTCCTGGATTGGTATGTCTATTTCCTTCATCAAGTTAGCGAAGTTTCCTGTCATTCTTTTTTTAAATAGGTTTTCAATTTCTTGCTCTCTCTCTTCTCCTTCCAGCACCCACCATGATAAAAATGTTGGTAC